TGGAGAATAGGGGTCCTCTCTACACCTTCTCTAGGTCATGGAGAATTTTACACACCTCTACAGCATGTATCCCTTTATTTACCTTTTTTCCCTCTAAGCAGGCCCTCGTCCTCATGTCACAACCCTACAACAACTAGGGACAGCCAGTAACTCCAGTCCTTAAGAACTTCAGTTGCTGTTTTCTCTTGGTCTGGAGAGGACAAGAGGACACATTCGAAGACTTTGGGTGGTGAATCATTAATTTCCCCCTTAAGTGTGTGCAGGACTGCAAACCAAGCAACTTAAGCAAAACACAAAGAATATTACCAGCTTTGTTTGTGTAGTTCATTAACTTTCAGCTTTAATTAATTATAGAACCCTCATCAATGAACATAGATAACAGCATCAAATATTAAGTGAAGCTAAAATACACAATACTCAGTTACAAAAAAAGCACAAACAAGGTCAGCATCAATAAAAAACATTTACTTTATTATTTTCTAACAAACTTTAAGTATGGCACTTAACTATACAGTACTTAAATGTTTTGTCACTCACTATTCCAAAAAAGTTCTGAAAATTACACTCGCATCCAGACAACCTTCCAAGACATCATAATAATTATGTACCATCCAGTAAATTCTGACTTAAGGTAACCCTTCTCAGGGTTTTCCAAGTACAGAATACTCAGAAGTGGTTTAAGACTCTCTTCACCTAGGAGTGTCCTGGGATTGTGCAGCTTGCCCAAGGCCACACAGGCTGGTTGTTTTCCCAGAAGGCACAGTGGGAATCAAACTCCTAACCTCTGGCTCCACAGCTGGATACCCAACCCACTGAGCTATCAAGCTATGACATACTAGCTATGAATTGCTACCAAATCTAACACAACTATCTCTTGACCATTTAACTCCAAACTGGGTAACATACAATTAAATTAAACTCAAGATCCATATCCTAAAACCTATAAACTATGAATGAAGAGAGACAGAAGCATATTCATTCAAGTTGCAGGTTTGCTGGACTTTCTTGCCCCAAATTTACAAACAGTAGCTGAGATTATACATCTGTTTGGAGGGTACTCCACCTTTCTGATATACACAATTTACAGGGAGTCCCTACCTCTCTGGTGTAAGAATGTTCAGCATATTCATTTATTTTCCATCTGCTTACCCTTAATAGATTATATAGCAACTCAATGACAGCCCATGGCATCTGTTTAGCTACTAACAGATGACTTATTTAACCTTATTTACTTCTCATATAGCTGAAGCCTGATAAAGAATCAGCAGATACTTCCAAGATCCATATCCTAAAACCTATAAACTATGGAGACAGAAGCATATTCATTCAAGTTACAGGTTTGCTGTACTTTCCTGCCCCCAATTTACAAACAATAGCTGAGATTATATATCCATGGAGGCTACTCCATCTTTCTGATATATACATTTTTCAGGGAGTCCCTACCTCTCTGGTATAAGAATGTTCATCATATTCATTTATTTTGAATCTTTCTTTAAATTAGATCTATCCACAAAATTGCCATCTGCTTACCCATAATAGATTAAATAGCAAACTGAATGACAGCCCATGGTATCTGTTTAGCTACTAACAGATGACTTATTTAACCTTATTTACTTCTCATACAGCTGAAGCCTGATAAAGAATCAGCAGATTTTGACTGTTATCTCAGCAGATTCCTGCTTCTGGCTTAATTGCCAAAGCATTCCCCCACCCCCCACGACTAAACAATGAAAATACCTTTAATGCAGATCTTTAGATGGAAGAATTCTGGGAAGTGATAATTAGAAAACAGGTTTCGCCAAAATAAAATTTTGTAATTTTATTTCGATTCATGTAGGTGTGTATTTCTCAATTATAAATCTACAAACTGGCCGTGCACTCGTTCAGAACAGCTGCAACAGTTTGGAGAAGTCAATGGACATAAGGCAGACTAAATTAATCTTCATCAATAGCAAAATGGATGTATAGTGAGGACAGAGATGAGGCTATTATAAAAGTAACTGATAACACCTCAAAAAGGCTCAGGGCATTCACCTTCCATAGGCATGAATGCCTTTTCGGCTCAGGGCATTCACCTTCCATAGGCATGTACAGTATGCCTTTTTGGAATCATTCTGAAGATTAAGAACAAGTTATTTTCTCATCTCACACACCCATTTGAAGTTTCCAGACTGGATTTCTGAAAGAGAAGCAATCACAACCAGACACCACATTTCTACAAATCGTCCTTTGATTGCAAAGAATGACCCTTTGTTTTTTTTTATTATGAACTTCTCTTTCACCTCAAGAATCCAGTTTTGAAGGGCAGTTAAAGCTTGCGGTGGTTAATCTTCATCAATAGCAAAATGGATGTATAGTGAGGACAGAGATGAGGCTATTGTAAAAGTAACTGACAACACCTCAAAAAGGCTCAGGGCATTCACCTTCCATAGGCATGAATGCCTTTTCGGAATCATTCTGAAGATTAAGAACAAGTTATTTTCTCATCTCACACACCCATTTGAAGTTTCCAGACTGGATTTCTGAAAGACAAGCAATCACAACCAGACACCACATTTCTACAACTCGTCCTTTGATTGCAAAGAATGACCCTTTTTTTAAATTATGAACTTCACTTTCACCTCAAGAATACAGTTTTGAAGGGCAGTTAAAGCTTGTGGGGACATATAAAAATTCATGACTTCAAAGAAAACATGGTCAGGTTCTGTCCAGAAGAGGTTCCAGCTGTTCTAGTACAAATGAAATAACCACGCTCAAAGCAGGTGGTTGAATAAAGCGCAGCCCACTTTATCAGATGCATGAAATGTTATCCTATCTACATGCATGACATAAACAGCAGGGCTGAAAGAGGCAGAAAGGAGTCTGACCGCTCCAGGCCAAACGTATGTAAGATTTTTCTGGCTCTGTAGATGAACCTTTACAGTCAAATTGTAAAGACAACCATTTGAAACCTATTGCTCTTCCTCACATTTCAGGGCCTCTCCATACCATTTTTCAAATACCTACATTCAGATCTATATTCATGCATGAATATCTATATTCAGGCAGGTACACCTGTGCATACACACATACACAGATGCATTAAAGCCTTGACAAAACAGGTCTTCTGTCAAAATGCATCTGTTTATCACAACACCTACTTGCTTTTGTTACAGACTAACACAACCACCAGCCTAGAATGACCTTGCAAGAGATTACCTTGCAAGCCATGCTCCCAAGGGCCCTCCATCAAAAAGGGCCATTGTAACTCACACCTCCCAGCCTTCTGCTCACGGATAAGGCATTCTAGCCCATGATGTCCTCCACAAGTGACAACATTTGCAGCTCCACTTCACATTTGCTGTACAAGATACATGGGACGTTGTCTCTTACCATGTCACACCAGTGGCCCCGTCAGATCAGGACTGATGGCAGTACCAGTTCTCCAGGATTTTACTCTACCTGGAAATGTGGAGGACCAAATTGACAGTGACCTGTCTAGATAAACGGGGGTCACTTCCAGGTTTTTGGAAAAATTTGTATTTTGGGGGTTCTCAACAGCAGACATGAACACCTCCAAAAGGTGAACAGCTGTTTCAAAGGTTAAAAAGAGATGACTGCAGAAAGGTTGAAAGGCTTTCAAGAGAAGGCCAAATGCTGCAGCACTTTAACAGATGCATTTTGGTGCGAACTTTCCTGGAACAAAATCTACTTTTTCAGACAGGGAAGTAGAGATCCTTATCTTGCATGATATATCAATGCTCCCCAACACAATACAGGGAGCAATAAGGGCTTGTTGAGACAAGACTCAGATGATCCAGCTGTGAAAGTGGGTACCTCGATGCAAATTCAAACTTGTTCGTAGCTGTTATGTGCCATCAGGTCAGACCTGATTAAAGCAACCCTAGTAGGGTTCTCGGGTTAAATGAGGTACTTAAGGTGTTTTTACCAGTTCTACACCTCCAGTGAGTTTCCATGGCTGAGCAGATTTGAACCCAGGCCTCCTAAGTCCTCATCCATTATTCCAGCCCACTGATTCCCAACCTTTATTGACTCACATACCCCCTTTTATTATAGCCAGGTAACCTGCAACCCCCTCTTCCTGCCAGATCTCCATTTTTTAAAAAGGCATTTTTATTGGGGGTAAATCCATGCCTTCTCAGAAAGGAGAGGCTTTTTTCTCGGACAAAGCACCTGCTTTTCCTACAGTCACACTCATTGTAACATCTGGTTCCAAACATTCAAGGAACAAATTATTTAACAAGGACTACAGCACCTATAAGGGGACTTGTGATGTCGCCACCCCACCCAGAAAACATTTTGTGACCCCCCCCTCTCAGAATCAAGAGATATAAAATTTCCTAAAATTTCCATTTCTTGCAGGAAAAAAAAACAGTAAACACATGTCTCCCTCCCAGAAAAAAATTGTATGTACGTAAAGTTGTCTAGACTAGATCAACTGAAAAACAGAAATTTCCAATTTTTTTTCCTGGGGGAATAAAGGCTGTTTCCACCTTTTTTGGGGGGGGGAATGGAAATTTTGGGGAAATTTACATCTCTAATCAAGGAAATTTTGGGGAATTTTACATCTCTAATCAAGAAAGACACACACACCGGATGAGGAAGCAGGGCTCTAACCACTACACCCCACAGAGTCCCCTCATGTAAGACAGTCCATCTCCCCCATTAATTCCTGCTCCTCTTCTGTCTTTCAAAGGATGCACGGCCATCAAAAGGGGGGGGGAAGAGAGAGAGATGAAGTGGTCCATTTTGTGGGGGGAGGTCCTGCCCCATATAAGACCCCCTTTTAAACCTAGATCCCATCCCCCAATTTCCACCTCGAGCCCCAAAAAAACAACCCTAAGGCCCCCCCACCCCAAGAGACCTGCCTCGACACCCCCAGGACTGCCAACAAGAGGACCCCCCTGGCCTTCGTCGTCCTCCTCCTCCTCCTCGCGCGCCCACGGCTCCCTTGACACGCGTCCCCCATTTCCCACGACCGCCGAACCCCGATCCCTTACCCAGCACGACGGGAGGTCCCGGGAAGCGGCCGAGGGCGCCGTGAGGGGAGCCGGCGAGGAGCCAGGCGAGCAGGAAGGCGGCCCCCGGGACCCGCTTCTTCCCCTTCGAGCTGCCCTCAGGGACCATCGCCTCAGCGCATCCCTCCCGGCCTCCGACCCTCGCCCGGTATCGCCTCAGAGACGCTCCCGACCACCAACAACCTCCTCCCGCCCGCGGGGCCCAAAACAGACTGAGGCGTCTCGTGCGCGGCCCCGGGCTTATATAAAGGGGAAGCGGCCGGCCAATCCGCGGCGCCCCGGCTCCCCGGCAGCCAATGGGGTGAGGAAGGGGCGTTCCGGAGGGCTCGGCTCCTCCCCTGACCTCGCTCCTCCTTTCACCTCGGCCGGCTTCCAGGGTGGGCAGTAGAGAGCAGAGACATCGAGGGAAGGCTGGAAACGGGAACCTGTTGGCTTCTCTCCGCTCGCGGGCCCAAGCAAAGCCAATCGAGTGTCGAGTAGATCGAGCGTCAAGCTTCCCCCCCCCCTTTTTTTTTCTGTATTCATCCCCCCCCCCCCTTTTTTTCTTTCTGTATTCATTTTCATTGTTTGCCTTGTTGAATTTCCTTTTTATTTTCCGAAGGTTTCCTTTGAGGCTTTGGCTTCTAAGGAGGCGCTCTTGCGCAGGGACACCACACTAACCCTGGCGTTCTTGGGGGTCCTGCTGCTGATCAAATGAAGATGGAAGTGCACTCTGCACATGCCTAGGAGCAAACCTTTGCTCACTTTCTGCAGAACTCTTTCCTCTTTTTTCCCTTCCCCTTTCTTCCAAAGAATTGTTTTCAGTTGTTTCCTTCTCAGTTCCTTGGACACAGATGCTTGCGGTCCCAAACCCACAATTTTATATAAGGTTTTAGAGTTAGGGAGTTTACTTTTTTGGACTCCAGTTCCCAGAATCCCCAGCCAGCATGGCCTTGATGACTGTGACGGGGGGGGGCATAAAATTCTGTCTTTCAACAAGGAACAACAGGGAGGGAGTCCAGAAGGGGTGCATCTGAAAAGCAGAAGCTAGCAAACAAACACCTGTTTTAGTCCTGTATTTATGATGGGTCTTCATGACTAAATTTCTGGAAAATTAAAAATTCTGCCCTAGTTAGAGCCTTTTTCTAAAAAAAAAAAACCAAATCATTAAGGTTGCCCCCTTTTAAAATCTGATTTGATTTTTCTGACATATGAGAAATATAGCCACTGTCAATCACGGGAGTGTGGTTTTTAAAGGATAAGGGGTCAGACCCAAGTGATCCAGGTTGAAATCCCTGCCCGTCCATGGAAAGTCACTGGGGGATTTCTGTGGCCAACCACTCCTTGAACAGCTCTGCCTCAAAAACCCTTCTAGGGTGACTGTAAATCAAAAGCCACTTTGGGGGGGGGGGGAAACAGGACAAAGAATCATAAAAGTTTAGAGGAGAAATGGGCAAGTGTGTTTCCCCTTTGACCGCTGACCATTCACATGGGGGGGGGTGTCTTAAGAGTTTGTTGCCTGCAATAATCCTTATGCGGTCATTGGTTTACTTTGGACCAAGCTCTGTTGAACACAGAGAGGCTTGCTTATAAATAAACATGGGCTGGATCAAATTCTATCACGTGTGTTTATCTGAGAGTTGTAAACAGGCATTTAATTCCACTTGAGCCGAGGCTGATCTTTTCTCGCTGGAAAGAAAGCAGATCAGAGCACCTTCTCTCCCTCTCCCCCCACGAGCAGTGGGATTAATATACCAGGAGTAGATCTTCAGCTACTATCATTCATGACTAGCAAAGCTTAATGGGTTGCTGTGATTTTGCTTGGCACGAGGTCCCTCCCGGGAGAAGCAGATCAGGACATTCCTCAGCTTAGTCACGTTAGTTTAATTTAATGCACTTTGTGTTATGTTTCTATGTTATTGTTGTTGTCATTGTTGTGAACTGTCCAGAGTGACCATCGGTCAGATGGGCAGTGTAGAAATCAAATCAACAAATAAATGGTGCCAGGGGGTGGGGACTGGAGGCCAGTGGCTACAGCTGTCTTGGTCTCATAGCTAGTGACTCGAGAAAAAACAGTGAGAGTGGCTTATGGGTGGCAATATTTTTTTAATTTTTTTTTACTAAACTGTAGTAAACAGGACTGTGGTTTGAGCAGTATACTTACTGTTTTTAGCTTTTAAATACTGTTTTAATGATGTAAGCCACCTTGGATCCTTTTGGGGAGAAAAGAAGGATAGAAATATTTTAAATTAAAAAAAAAACACAGATAAACAGACTATAATAAATAACTGTTTACCATCAAGTCAATTCTGATTTATGAACCCTGGTTTTTCAGGGGTTTCCTGGTTAAAAATAATACTCAAAAAATTGATTTCCCGTTCCATTCTTCTGGGGGCACCCAGGAACAGTGCAGCTTGCCCAAGGCCACCCAGGCTGGCTCTTCTCCCAGGAGGGCCACTGTGGGAACTATAGAGCCTTACTACCTGAAAAGCCTTCCGCTAAAGGTATGCCCAGATTAGAGTTTACAAACATCACATTCTTGAACTACACTTTTAGCATAGCTGACTGGGGGATTCTGAGCCATATAGAGGGGAAAAATGAGCACTTCCAAAGTCTAATTCCATGAGACTAGCCATTCCTTTGTACTTGTTGTATCTTTTCCACCTGAACAGATTTTTCCAAGTAGGATAAAAACGGGAAGAAACCATGGAAAAACAATGGATGGCTGTAAGTGGAAGATGCCACCTGAACCCTCATCCCTCTGCCACCACCAGCTTCCAAGTTAGGGGGGTAAAAAGAGCTTTCTGAACTGACTCTCCCATCCCGCAGAGCCAATGGTACTTGGGGGGATCATGGGCATTGCGGTTCACAAAGGAACTTTTCCAAGCTCCCTTGTGAGAATGCCTCTAGCGCTGGAGGCAAGATGGCATTGGAATAAAAGCCCCATCTGGATCCGATCCAAATGGGTATTGGATATCACCTAGGTGCCAGTCTTGATTACTTGAAGTAATCTCCAAAGTGACGTTCCATAAAATCTAAATAAAGAGCGGGATGGTTGCCAGGATTGCACTTTGAACAGTTATCTTGATTCTACAATTTTAATTATACAGGCTACACATTGCCCACCCCAGCAAGCTGGGTACTCATTTTACCGACCTCGGAAGGATGGAAGGCTGAGTCAACCTTGAGCCGGCTACCTGGGATTTGAACCCCAGGTCGTGAGCACAGTTTTAGCTGCAGTACAAGAGCGGGATGGTTGCCAGGATTGCACTTTGAACAGTTATCTTGATTCTGATCTCCTTCTCCAGAATGCCTGGGGAAATTTTCATGATGGGATGTGAGAGTTAACTTCCTATTTTCCTTCCTGCCCACTGCTTTCCCAGTCAACTGTCATATAGAGAGATGTAAAACCCCAGGTCGTGAGCACAGTTTTAGCTGCAGTACAAGAGCGGGATGGTTGCCAGGATTGCACTTTGAACAGTTATCTTGATTCTGATCTCCTTCTCCAGAACGCCTGGGGAAATTTTCATGATGGGATGCGAGAGCTAGACTTCCTATTTTCCTTCCTGCCTACTGCTTTCCCAGTCAACTGTCATATAGACGGGTGTAAAGAAAGAAACCCCTGATCTGAAATTGACATACCAAATAGCACAGGGATTTCCGTAACGGAGGCTTGGAAACGGGGATGAGCACCGCCCCCTAGAGTCGAACACGACTGGACAAAAATTGTCAAGGGGAACCTTTACCTTTGCCTAAAGGAAAGAAACCCCTGATCTGAAATGGACATACCAAATAGCACAGGGATTTCCGTAACGGATGTAATGTTTACGTGGAGACCAGTTGGAAATAACTATTTCTGGCAGGACCTTCTTTGTCCTACCTCCTTTCCAACTGTCATATAGACGGGTGTAAAGAAAGAAACCCCTGATCTGAAATTGACATACCAAATAGCACAGGGATTTCCGTAACGGATGTAATGTTTACGTGGAGACCAGTTGGAAATAACTATTTCTGGCAGGACCTTCTTTGTCCTACCTCCTTTCCAAGCTATCTCTGGGTGCCATTCAGAAAAATCAAAGGTTGCCGAAGTGCCACTGAAATTTATTTCTCCTGTTGGACCGCAGCTCCTGGAACTCACTTTGGCCATCCCGTAATAGCAAAAGATAACTGCATGATTCATCCCCACAAGGGCAGCGCCTTGAAACTTTGCTGCCAAGAAAGAAATGTTCTCCAGCATGTGACTTGTTTAATCTCCGGGCAGAGCTGGGCTGCTTTTAACTAGCAACAGATAAGGAAGATAGTTATTGTGGGTTTCTCGGGCTGTTTGGCCGTGTTCTGGAGGTTTCGCTTCCTAACTTGCCAGACAGAATTCTAGCTCCTGTCCTCTGAAGATGCCGGCCACAGAGGGCTGGTGAAACGTTAGGGAGAAAAACCTCCAGAACACGGCAGAACAGTCTGAAAAACACACAACCACCATCAGATCCTGGCCGTGAAAGCCTTCGAGAACACGCAGATAAGGAAGAGTGTGTTGCGATTCTTCTGGGAGTTTCCACTGTGAGATAAACTATTCAACAAGAAAATATAAAGTCCCGTGGTTTGACAGTCCCTTAATGATCAACCCGAAATGCACAAAGAGGCAGATGAGGTTTTGAGTTTTCCTGGTCTCATTGTGTAATCTGTCTTCAAGCAATAAGTAGATTTTTTTTATCATTGTCATCATTTTGAACTGCAGAACTGGAAGGGACCCTATCAAGTCCAGCCCACGTCAAGAAAGCACAGTGATTCCTGGTCTCATTGTGTAATCTGTCTTCAGGCAATAAGTAGATTTTTTTTTTATCATCATCATCATCATCATTTTGAACTGCAGAGCTGGAAGGGACCCTATCAAGTCCAGCCCACGTCAAGAAAGCACAGTGAGGAATCAAACTCCCAACCTCTGGCTTTGCAGCCAAATGCCTCAAACACTGACCTATCCAGCAGTTTTCAATAAAAAGGGGAGAGAGAAACAACTATTACATGTTTGGTTGTTGTAGGTTTTTCGGGCTGTTTGGCTGGGTTCTGAGGGGTTTTTCGGGCTGTTTGGCTGTATTCTGAGGGGTTTTTCTGCCTAACGTTTCACCAGTCTCTGTGGCCGGCATCTAGAGAGGACAGGAGTCAGAACTCTGTCTGTGCTCTGGTGCAGTTTGTGGGATATTACAAGTTTGGTTACTCCCAAAACTCCAAG